TACAAGGCGGTACATGTACTTCCAAGCCAGTCGTGACGCTAGTGTAAGGTAGACCGCGCTAGGCAGAAACGGGCCATCCATCCCGACGTAATCTGCGCCTAGCGCTCAACGGTTCTCCAGGCCTCGATTGTCCTGCTCCTCATCTCTGAACTCCCCTAAATCGCACTGCTCGTTTGTATTGTAGGTATCGTTTTGTTTTGTTTTGTTTTGTTGGTTTGTTACTTTTTTCTTCCTGTTGATTCGTTCCATCTGACAATCGTCCCTTTTTTTTTTATAACCTCTTTCCTCTTTCAATAATTGTACGTCACTGGTCGTGTCTTATCTCTTCTTTTTTTTTCGATTCACGTCTTTCCCGAGGCACTGTTTCATGGTTTCATGAGAACCGCGTCACCCACCACCACCTTTGTAGGGTATCGGTACGCCCAATCCAACACCCCGGTTGCATTCGCCTCGTCCAAGTGGCAGCTGTGGATGCAGAGAGACCAAGCGCTTGACTACCGGTAGGTCGTGTAGGGAGGGATTCCCTTATTTTATAACTTTCCATCCTGGTATCTTGATTTTGCAGATACATACATACAATCAACCGCCGACTCTTCCCGCTCTTTCACCCATAATACCTACGCTTGTCTGAGACCTGCGCCGGCACCGACCGCAAACGACCCACAGCGGTCACCTAATCTTCTTTACAACTCAAAGGTTGGTTATCTTTTTCCCCTTCGTTTTTCTTTTTCCCCCTCCCCCGTCTCCATCCTCGTATGCGCAACCAAAGCTAGAAGTCTTGCGACCCGGTCTTGATCCGCTACCACTCTCTCTCCCCCCCCCCCTTCTCTCCCCCCTCTCCCCCCTCTCCCCCCATCTTACCTAGTCGGTGGGCTTGTCGCATGTAACACAGCGCATGTGCTGAACATTGAGGGGACTTCCGTCTATGTACCTGCGGGAGCTGTTCCGTGGATGGTACCTACACGATCTACCCGGTGCTGTTCGCCACAACTTAGTTGCATATGGGCCTTTTCCGCAAAACCGATCAGGATCGTCTGTCAAGAGAGGTCTGGCTACTGTTAGTTGTGGGGCTGCAAGCCAGATGGTAAGGTGATGCGCGACAGAATCACCAGGTCAAAACACATTTGCTAGACCCGTCGTGCCACTGTTTTCTCCTCATTTCATGGCTCAGATGCACCAACAAAAAATTGCGTCCCTCTACTTCCAAACAGGCATGCATGGTGGTCTGGGAGAGCTTCTTTCTTTATCCATTGTGCAAATGTTAGGAAATAGACTGACAATAGCTTCGTGAAAACCCTTTAGGTTGTTGTTTATTCGTCAAAATTGGCCTATTTTTTTTAAAAAAAATTATCATTTTTACGTTTCGCCATTGCAACCACACTTCCCTGCTCGGTGGACACATCTAACACTACCTACACCTTCATCCGAGATCAGAAGTACTAGTATCAGAAGGAATAAGGCCGCACAGTCCAGGACCAACCTACCTGCCTGTACAAACAGTATTCTCTTGTTCTTGCACCTAGGTTTTTATAATTCCAATTACATATTCCAGTCGATCTGTCCTGGATCATCTGCTATTGGTCGACCACATTATCTGACACGGACAGACTGGGCCCTGCTGGCCATTCCAATTCTCTCTCTGTTGCACCTGCATATCAAACTCCGTGGGTATCGAGTAATCACCCGGTGGTAATTCTCTCCGAGGCTTCAAGAGCGATACCCGTCCATTCTGACTAGGGAAAGCTTTTTTTTTTTTACCAGGGCATCAAACACAACGAGGCGCAACCGTAATATCTAAGTTAACCTTCTGTCTAAGCTCCTGCAAGCTTGTTATGCACTGTACCTTGCCGGTATACCTGCCAATTGACTAGGTTCACTTGGACATAATCCTGCAACGGTGTTGCCTGTTTATCGGCTGTTTATCCCCTGGAATACGCGATTTACGCCTCCCATTGTCGTATCACGGAGAAACGTACTTGCCTGTCATCGAACCCTGAGTTCTTACATGCTTGCATTTCTAGCTTGGGAAAGATGAGTCACCACAGCCCCCCTCGGCGATCAAGCTTTGGCAACCTGCTTCGACGCAGTAAGTCCGGCGAGTTCAGAAGTGGAAGTCAAGGTGCGAGGAAGGTCTCGCAACCAAGGGAGCCAGCCCCAGCTCCAGTCCCAGTCTCACTTCCCAAGTCCCCACCTCGTCTACCCGTTCTCTATAATGGTTCTCAGCATCAACCTTTCGAGACTTTTGGAGGCGACCTTCGTTCCGACTCTGTTGCTTTAGTCTCTGGAACGGCAGATCACTCTTTGGATCCTTATCAATCCCGCATCTCTCTCGACCCTGGACGTCTATCTATGTCGCCTTCGATCGCGATACCTCCAGTTCCACCGAACTCCAACGGTGCCTGGGCCGATCCCTATGCTCGTGCAGAGAGCATGACGAACCGTGGCCGATACAGTTACGCGAGCAGCGCCATCAGCACTGTTAACAGCCCTAGAAGGGTCCGCAGAAGGAAAGATCCTACTCCTTTTAAGTATGTCGCTTCTCGCTCACTTCAATCCTACATGACTGTATTAATCTATTCACAGCATTCTGATCATCGGCACCCGTGGCTCCGGCAAGACTTCATTCCTCGAGTTCCTCAAGACATCTCTTGCTCTGCCAGCCAAGAAGAGATCACAGCGTTCAGCCGAGATCGAACAGGAGGTGACCTCACGAGCAACTCGTTCGGGCAATTTCATACCTCACTATCTCGAGAGCGATATCGATGGTGAACGTGTCGGATTGACTTTATGGGATTCGGAGGGTTTGGAGAAAAATGTTGTGGACCTCCAGCTACGAGAGATGTCTTCGTTCTTAGAAGGCAAGTTTGAGGAGACGTTTGCTGAGGAGATGAAGGTGATTCGATCACCAGGCGTACAGGATACGCACATTCATGCCGTTTTTCTCATTCTTGACCCGGCTCGGCTCGATCGCAACATCGCCGCTGCCAAATCAGTCCCTGGGCTCAACTATGGTGGAAAACATGGTCTTGATATTAGGCGCATTGTCGGTGGTCTTGATGAGGATCTCGATCTGCAAGTCATGCGTATCCTGCAAGGCAAGACGACCGTGATCCCTGTCATTTCGAAAGCCGACACCATCACGTCGGCGCATATGACTTTCCTCAAAAAGACGGTCTGGGCTAGTCTCAAGAAGGCCAACTTTGACCCCTTGGAGGCATTGAGCTTAGACGATGATGAGTCTGTTTCAGACTCTAGCAAATTTGACGAAAGCGAGGAACTACGTGCCGATGAATTGGCAAGCAAATCTAGCGTGGGCGATGTTGGAGAGTTGTCACGCATTAACTCCCATGAAAGCTCTACTGTGTCGCCCCGACAAGTCAGATTGTCAAGCGGAGACGGTGCCGACGAACTGCCCCTTCTGCCCATGTCCATCATCAGCCCTGATGTCTATGAACCTGGTACCCTTGATCGGAAATTTCCTTGGGGCACGGCCAACCCCTACAATCCGGATCACTGCGACTTTACTCGTCTGAAGGAGGCCGTTTTCTCCGAATGGCGTAGTGACCTCCGTGAGGCCAGCCGTGAGCAGTGGTATGAGGGCTGGCGAACTAGCCGGCTCAAACATCGCAGCCCTGTGAATCGACGCCGTTAGGCATTGCGACAGGATTCGCAAGGCCGCCCTGTGTTCCACGAGTGAAACTTCATCGCATGCTCAACGACAACTTTCTCTTCCCTTTTTTTTTTTAATTAAATTTCATGGACTTCTCTCAATTTGCGACACCCGCAGCAATACCCCTTGATTGTTCACTTCTCTTTTCACGCATTTCCCGAACGCTCACGTACTTCGTACTGACCCAAGTTTTGTACTATTTCGGGCGGTCTTTGCCTTAATTAAAAGAGAGAAGACCCCGCAGGCGACAAAAATCCTTCTCGTAGTCAGGATTTCCAGGAAAGGAAAAGAAGACCCAAATGGACGAACTTGTTTTTTGGAGGCCGATATTAGGGAACTCATCTATCCAACACAGATATCATTGGTATGTTTGTGGGGGCGAGACTGGGGAGAGGTCCTCTCAAAAGGTACAGCACTTTATTCTGTGCCTATGTTGCCTCCCTTAGGATCCCCTCTTTTGAAGGGGGCGAAGGAATGTTTTAGGTCTACGGCTTTATTGTTGTTACCGAGAGAATTCTTGTATTTCTCCAGTCTCGTGGCCTGGTTAGACCTCGGACTCTTTACTTATGCTTCGTCGCATATATTCTTGTGTCAGCTTAGGTACTACGTCACTGTAAAATGGTTGCGTTCTTCTTAATGGTGTCTTCTTCTTGTTCTCCTTTTGTTTGCAGCCTGGGTCTTTTGAGGTTTTCTCGCTACGAGCGTGTGTATGTGACGAATTGTTGATTGACTGATACAAAAGGTCAAGTGAAGTCGGGCACTTTGGCGTGCAATGCGAACTGCACGTCAGCAAGAGACTCATGCATCCATCAGACGCTCTGGGTTGTCGGGATTCCCTTTCTACTGATTTGCACAAGCCTAAAAGAAATAAAATCGAATAATGGTGAACGGGATTTAAAATAGAGATGCATGGGAAGTTTAGTAAGGTAGTTAAGTAGTAAGTAGTATTGAAGAGATCGATCAGGTTCGAGCATGCAAGCGAGTAAATAAATAAGTAAGGAAGGAGGAAATATGTGAAAAGGTTCCCTGCATACGGGGGATTTTGAGTCCTTACATGCTTTTTTTGTACACTCACACATTCTTTCTTTGACTTTCGCTTTCTGTGTGTTTGTCTTCACTACCTTAGGTACCTATGTGGGTGGGTAGGCAATTTGTAGTGCACAATGCGAAGCAATTCACAACCATGCTCTCCACTGTAGTCCGTACTTAGTAAGTTGATTAATCAATCTGCGCCAAAAAAAAATTGGGACTACCCTTCGTTCCCTCCCACATCCTCACAGGATGGATGAGGGGTGAAATGAAGGAAGTCGATGAAAGAATTTGTTTCCTCCTCCCCCGGACAGGCTTGAACTGTCAACCTCTCGATTGCCTGCTGCACACTTGGTACCTTACATAACAGTCGAACGCGCTAGCCAATTGCGCCACGGAGGATCCTGTGGATTCGTGGTGTGTGAATGGTCGCTTCGCTAATGGTTGGTAGGTAGCCTGGTTTGTTGGTTTGTTGGTGGGTTGGTTTGATCGAATTGCTTCGGTCGTGGGTCCGAGGTGCTACCTAGTATAAGTACGTCCGTAGGTAGGCACACTACACTACCTATCTACTGTGTGCCTACGCTAGGCGGATCGGAGATGCGAGGTATTTTTTATTATTTTTCTTATTAGCGCCGGGTTGAAGGAATTATGTGGATTGTGCTTTGCAATAATTGTTGTTGTCGACTTCTTGCTGGTATCTTCACGTATACTTATACGTAAGCGCTCGCCCAGCTAAACTACCTATGTACCTATCTACGGACGTAAGGTACCTACTACGGATCCGTACCTACAGTAGGTACAAGCGACACAGGCATCTGCCCAGTCATAGGTACCTAACCTAAGGTAGGTACGTCCGTAGTGCAGTGCGATGGTTCATTCAAATGCCCAAGACTGTTCAGTTGTCTGGCAACTGGCACCCAGTGCACGGATCGTACGGAGTACGGACTATCTAGATGTGGTGCCACCCGGCAACTTCTCCCTGCAGCCCGCCTAAGCTAGTTAGACTCAGCCCTAGCGTGATAACATGCGACAGCGCACCGACCACCATAAGCTCCTGATGGCACAGTTGGTAGCGCGTTGGACTGTAAATGTAATTTGCTTAGAGATCCACAGGTCGTGTGTTCGAGTCACACTCAGGAGAGCTCCTCTTTTTGCGACTTCGTTCCTTTCCTTTTTCTTTGCAGACACGCTGTCGTAGGCGTAGCCCGGATCAGCTCATCGTCTGTCGGCTGGGGTATCAAACATTCCACCTCGCGCGTTGATTCCCAGTGTACAGTCCCATATCTGTAAAGCTCGCCATACGTGCCAGGTCTATGATCCGCATCCAGGAAGCCCTCCTTCTTCACTACATCTCCCAGCCCCGGCGTCCCGCCAGCCGAATTATGGTATACCTTATACAAGTGGCTCTTCTCCAGCATCTCTATCACAAAATCTTCGGCCGCCTTCCTATTGCCCTCGTCGGGATCGTTGAGGGGCGTGGTGAAAAGCTCGGCCTGCTTGTGCCCGTCGAAGTCCGTCCGGATTGCGCCGAGCACGCCGTTGAAAATTCCCTCCACCATGAATACCTTGTTTTCCCAGAAGTCGCGCCCATTCCAGCCTGTGCTGATGTCAAGCAGATTCTTCGTGCGGTCGCCGAGTAGCATCTGCGCAACGTAATCGCTCATCTCCAGCAGCTTCTCCTCGGCGTGCCAGTCGGCTATGCCCTCAGCCAACCCGATGTCCTGGATCAGGGGTGATTTGTGGAAATCGACCGCGTTGGTGCGGCCCTTCCACAGCTCCTTGTAAGATGTGTGCCAGTTTTTGATGAAGATGCAGCCCTTTCGCGCTGCTAACATGTAGTTTCCGAAGCTGCCCCATTGCTTTCTGATCTGCCCGGTGATGATCCACACCGCCATCTCGTAAGGCGAATTCGGAGCCGTAAGGGCATTCCAGAATAGTTGATCGAGATGAGTGTGTAGCATGTTTCCTACGTCCATCCAGACACCGCCGTGCTCGAACAGTAAAGGTAACCGTACGAGGTCCGCGGCGTGTTGCGCCGCATGCGCACCGTCCATGGTCCGGTTCCAGAAACAATCGGGGAACCACTCCTTGCTGACATAGTTGTAGATATTGTTAGGTGAACCGTCTATGATGTCGACGATTCGAACGATCCAGTCGCTCCCGAGCTTCCTTACCCAGTTCAAAACGGTCTGTTGGTAGCTCGGGTACATGTGATTGTATCCCTTATCCCAGAAACACCACACGTTTTTCTCTGAGGTGACAGATCGAAAGGAGTGGAGCTGCTGTACGATCTGCGCTTCGGGTCGCAGGTCTAAACGAGAATCAGGCACCACACGAAGGCCTGTGGCCGAAGTCGGGAGCGCAAACTTGTCAGACATCACGGCTCAGAAGGTAGTGTCACGCTTCTTCAAGAGTTTTAAGAGGGTGTTGTCAAGGCGTGCGGTGAAACCGTCGTTTTAAAGCGGTCCTTATCCGGCTGTGTTGTGTTTTCTTGGCAAGATTCTTGTGTGATGCTGTTTGCTTCCTATATATGCATTCTGCAAGCGAGGCTACCCTCGCAGAGTCGGGATGCGGCAATCATTCGATTCGAGGATGATTCATTGTGACGACTCAATCGTCCTCCTTGGTACGGGGCCATATCAAAGGTAAGTGGCTGAGATACTAGGATCGATCGGCGGAAGGTGGCCATTCGAGTGAGTGAGACAATGAGGCGGTGGTGGAGGAAGATGGCAACCCGATGGAAAAGTGGAGCTAGACATATCCGAGGGCGCACACATAAGATCGCAGGTTCACCGGCCTCAGCCTGTGAATCCTGAGAGAATGAATGTTGCAGTGGAATCGAAATATCAACGAATTTGCGGCAGATACGCGGATACGATATCTACGCTAACCCCTTGCCCCAGGTAGTTCTCATAACGTGTCAAGAAGTAGTATAGAGAGAAGCTAAGTTTCCATATCTAGGTCCGTACGAGCACATGATCTGGGCGTGTGGTAGCAGAGCCTTCCATCGCTGTGTAGTCTTTGGTATCAGAGAAGACGTGGCTATTGCAGTGAAGCTGTTGTAACGACTATGATGGTCCAATACTTCGTATATGTAAATGTCTTCTTGGCATACCTATCATTCAATTATCTATGTACTTGTCCACTATTACATGTCCCGACCCTACACTTCATTATTTCGTACTCTCTCTCTCTCTCCTGTAAACACAACGTCAATGCATACAGTGTTCCTTTAAACGCAACGATGTTTCTGGGCAAATGGACACCCGCGTTTTCAATATGCCTCTTTATGCAACGTTGTTCGCTGTCCGAATTTGTAGCCAATAATAACCTGAAAAAGTTTTAACTCAGTATGAATCATAGTGTGATGGATAGTGATGGCATAATCAACCATCTGGTCAGCCAGAATTCCATCTTGACATCTCTATACTCCATAATGACAAACACAGTAGAGCACACCACGAAGTATGAAGCATGCATACCATAGAAGAGCCCGAGCTCATGAAATACAGTCTTCAGCACCATGGGCTTAATTTTTTAACACATGCTCACGGCCCCCTTGCGGGTGAGAGGGGAGAAATTATGGTCTCATAATTCATTTGTACTGTACTTACTATAACGGCGACATATCTCCAAATGCAAAAGAAAATGTATACGAGACAGAAATTCTAGAAGAATAAGTGTGGCGCTCATTGGGGTAGATGAATCTCCTCACTTCCATCAAGCTCATCACAATTGCTGCTCTGCCATCGGCAAATCCTGAATATATATATATATATAGAGAGAGAGAGAGAGAGAGAGTCTTACAAAAAGGCCGGCGCAATCGAACAAGGAGCATCATTACATAGATAGTCGGGAAACCCAGGTCGCCATGATCGAAGTCAACGATAAATCCATCTACGTCGACTTCGACCCCGATTTTAAGCCGCTGCCCAAGTATGGCCATCTCTCCAAGAAGAAGCCTGAGTTCCTGGCCGCCGAGGACGCCATCGGCGCCGCCTACGACAAGTTCTGGGCCCTACCCGATATTCCGAGCTTCCGCCGGGCCGCCGGCAACGCGGACGCTGTCATGCCTCCGGGGGGACCCGACCGGTACCGGGACGTGAGGGCGGAGCTGTTGTATTTCACGGCGCGCGACAGCCACGTCGTCGAGCTGAAGGTCTACAAATCACCAAACGTGCTACCGAACGCGACGCTCATGTATCGCATGCACGGCAGTGGTACGACACGCCGGATCCCAATCCCCCTGACATCGCACCACGAGTCGCTTATCTCTTCTACCTAGGTTTCTGCGTCGGAGGACATGAGACCGATGGCGCCGAGAACGTGTACGCTGCCACGAACCCCAACATTGTCGTCGTGAGCGTCGATTATCGATTGTACGTGTGTCCTTCCATGTTCTCGCAAGCCCTTCAGAAAGAAAGAAATAAAGAAAGACCCTGCTGACATACCGGAACAGAGCACCCGAGCATCCTTTCCCAATAGCAGTCGAGGACAGTTACGACGGTTTACTATGGGTTCGTTACCCCTTCTCCTAACGCAACACTCCCACTAATCCCCAGCCTCAGTGTAAGCAACACGCATCGACCCTCGGAGTCGATCCAGAAAATATCATAGTCTCCGGCAGCAGCGCAGGCGCCAATCTCGTACGTCCACCAACCCCCCCCCCCAACCTTCTCAACCCCAAATGAAGTAACAAAATCCACGTCCTTAGGCCAGCGTATTGGCCATAATGGCAAGAGACAACGGCATAACCGGCATCAAAGCCCAAGTCCTCCACTTCCCCTCCCTCTGTCACCCCAAGCTCTTCCCCAAGCACAAGTACGAGTTCGGCAGCTACGTCCAGAACGCCGAGAACGTCGTCCTCAGCGTCGGCCGCTTCGAGGCCTTCCTGAAAGCCTACATGCCCGACCCCGATCCCGAGATCGACTACCGGCATTCCCCTCTGCTTGCGCCCTCGCTAGCCAATCTTCCGCCAGCACGTAAGTCGAATCCAAAACCTGCTCCCAAATCACATCCACCGCCCCTCTTCACGCAATCCAATCAGGTTCTAAATAGGTCCAGTAATACAATCCGCCGGCGTCGACATCTTCCGCGACATGGGCCTAGCATACAGCGAAGCCCTACAAGCCGCCGGCGTGGAAGTGGAAGTCCACATTTACGGCGGCCTACCGCATTGTTTCCCCGCCCTTCTTCATACATCGCCCAGCACGCCTGTATTCTATGACAGGTATAGCGCTTTCTTGAGAAAACATGCGACTCCCTCTGAGTCAATGAGGCCGAAGCAGTATGACGGGTAGTTTTAAGGTATCCCGGGTTGAAAGAAATTACAACTCCCCTCGAACCCTTTCTCCTCACGGTCGCTAGGATTCAGAATCTAGTCGTACGTGGTGGATGATTGC